TTTAATTATGGAATATGCTATGTGTATGTGGTTTGGAAAAGTAAATAGGACTTAAAGGAGTAAGGTTATGGTATGGATTAGATCTCTTGGTGAGATCAGGATATAATCTTTGGAAAAATATGGAATTTGGGAATCCCATGGTGAGGATTCCAATGTGGAACTTTTCCAAAGGTTATATAATAAACCACTTCAGATGTTAGGTGGATTCTGAAGTACTCCTCTAAGTATTCTATTTGCTACCGGTATGGGTCTAGGCCGAGTCATACCGATGGTTGAGGTGGCCTCACCAGGGTTACGTGACGACGTAATCCAACTGTATATTTTCCATGAGAGGTTAGGTGTGGGACATGGGTTGCTGACATGTTTCACCGTATCAACACTTGGTTTGGATGGTGTTGAGGCCAACATTTGGTTTGGATGTGTTGGTTACATCATGGATTATACAGTGGTGTGACTTTGTTTTGGATATGGAATATGTATACATATGGTATGGATTGTATACATTGGTTATGGATTATTTTATTATCATAAAATATGTATACATTGGCATGGACGTGTATACATTATATTTTGGGTTGGTCTATATTTAGCTTGAAAATGACTTGTTGGTCTGGATAAATACTGTGGATAAATATCTGTTTAATGATATTTTATTATGATGTACTATGATTGGTTTTATATGTGCTAACCCTTATATTTCCATGATGTGGACTGTGATGATCTCACTATGTAGGGGAGCAGATCAGGTATGAGGCTTTGGGATAACAAGGAGTCTTTTGGATAGTTTCTTGAGAAGTGGCTAGGTTTAGAGCTTGACCAGCACCTAGGGTGTCTTATTTTGATGTTTTAATGACATTGTAATTACATTATCTTTTTGGATTACTGTATAACTTTACTGAGGATGATGACTCTGTTATAAAAGATTATGTTATATATTTTGGAAACAATTTATATGTTATTGTATATTTACACTCTAGCGTAGCTGGCTCTTATTCTATTTTCTTTTATATATATTATTTATCTTTGGTTGGTTCTAGATGTGACGGCCTAGGGTGGGTCGTTACAAAAACAACAACTGGTATAAAACTTGAAACAACGGCTAGCATCAATTATATTGATTTATCAAATTTTGTCACTTAAACTATGAAGTCCAGTACTATTGTTAAGGTAGAATAGTTTGGATATAAGTCTACCATGACATTAGCTTGCAATACTAAGTCACATATGGGATCAATCCACTGACTACCTTTCAAATACTATGTCCTTTCAATACTCGGTTAGAGACTAAGTTTTTGACTTTGTATTTTACTCGATTGGTCATTTTATATATGTATGCATCGACATTGCCCATGTATAGGTACCACATAAAATTTAGAGGAGACAATTTAAAACAACTATCCTTCAGAAGCCAACATACTAACTTAAGGGTTTCAACTAGTCTCTCGAAGCACCACAATATATATCCACATGAAATATTTAAATTTTTAAAACAATTTTTAATTCTCATAAATTTTTTTATGTATATTAGCAAAGACATGTATCAATACTACATGCCTAACAACTTAGCAACTTAATCAACTTAATGTCATACAACTTCATCATTTATCAACTTATCACTTTACAACATAAAAATCATCATACAATATATCAACTTTCATCATAATAAATCATCTTTATGTCATATTCCCCATACAACTTAATCAACATCTTTCATCATAGCCTACTTAAAGGCATCATACTCAACAACATGCAATCAACGCTCGAAACCATTCTTTGGATGCCTAACACCATTAAAGCAAGGGGTTCCTTGTCTTACTCACGCCCGATGCCAAACTATTCACTCCTAGTGTGGTTAAGGCAGAGAGCCTCCCATTCTCTCATGCCTAGTTTGGCAACAGCCTAGGCCAGTCCTAATTAGGCAAAGGGATTTTGTCTAACTCACGCTCTGTGTCACTCAACATGCACCCGACACCAATTAGGTAGTGATCTACTAGCTTGATCACGTTGGACACCACACCTCTAGGATTCAATGTCACAAAGTTAGAGAATTCTCGACTTTTCACGTTTGACGCCACTAGCTCATTCCACACTCAATGTGACTAAGTCAGCTAACTCCTCAATGATTCACATTTGACGCTATCAATATCGTGCCCAACATGATCAGGACAAATAACCTCTTAACTTAAGCCATGCCCAGTCTGGCACAATGAAGACGTGCCCAATGTAATGCTTGTTTTTGCACATAACAAAACCACCAGATGTCTGCAAATAGCCAAGACAACATGCAAACCAACATACAACATATATGTACCATAAACAACCCCAAACCAACTCATGCAAACATCCAAACTCAATATCACTCAAAAACACCTTCAAAAACACTTCTTCAACTACACTTAGACTCATCATTTTCACCCCTCTAATCATGCAAGAATCAATCTAGGCAGCAAAAACAACCATTATGCAACATCACAATTCAATTCGCAAAGTTTTCCTTACTTCTTATTGATTCGAACCAAGACGAGGAAAAGGAAAGAGAAAGAAAATGAATCATCTAGTCTTGACTTAGATTTTCAACTCTACAAGCTTGGATCTTTCAACTCAATCAAGTAGATTCAACTATGAGATGGAAGGAAAGAAGGATTTTAGTAGAAAACAAGGGAAGAAGGAGGTTTGGGTTCTCAAAGAACTTCTTTCATATTTTCTTAAAATATGTATTTATGAAGCGCAAATCTTAAGTAAACCCTCGCATACTCTTCCTTAGGTTATACTAACTAAATTTTGTCTAAAACTATTTTAGAAACAACTTAACTCTTCGAGGTTCATTGACCCAAAACTCTAAAACAACAATTAAAATAATAATTCAACAATTTAATTATATATCAAATATAATTAAATTTTAACATAAAAATACGCAGTGTTACATGTATTAGATTATTTATTGATAAAAAAACACTATGAACTGTGAAAGCTTTGCAAGTTTGCATTAACAATATATTAAATCTAAACTTTATTAGTTTGGAAAACTAAATAATTATCTAGACAAATACACCGAATGAATAAAAGACATTGGGAGAAATGCTAATTAACTACGTTAGTCTCACTCCAGTTCTTTACCAACAAATGTTGAGATTTAATTATTTTCACATTCCTTTGTATACATGTTATTTTAAAAATGTTTTTTTTTTTACAAATTATTTAGAATAAATCGTAAATTGATAGCAAAATATTTTCACATGATGTACACGCACGCGTGCACACACTTCATTAAAAATTATTTCTATATAAAATTGTTTCTATATACACTTTCATTTCCTTAACATAAATTTAAATAATGATTATATCTTTAAATATTCCCTTCTAATTAATTTTGTATATATACAATGAATTGAAGAGTCTATACTTTGTTATGATTTGTGTTTAGCCAACTTTAGCAAACTTTTGCAGTAATACAATACAATTGCTTAATTTTAGATATTGTTGCGAAATAGATGAAGGGCTTCGGTTACATAATTAAAATAAATGGTTAAGATTATATTTAGTTTTAGTTTTTATTTATATATAAATACTAAAATTAAAAATCACCTAATGTCAAACGATTAAACAAAACGTTTTTCTTTTTATATTGTAATTTGAACATTCATATATAATACTATTTTATTATTAAGATTATTATTCTTTTAATTTACTTTTTAGAAGGAAAAACTATTTATTTATATTAGTCCATTTAATTTTTTTAAAAATATTAATTACGATCTTATTAATTATACTTTTTTTTACAGCTACTCTTCTTTGTACTTAAATTTCAGATGTTTCATATACTTATAGAATAAATTCATAGCATGAAATAATAATATTAATTATATATTTAATTCATGTATTATTAAGTGCACAATAAAAAGAAACAAAATGATTTTTATTTTTGTCATACGTGCTTTGTTTGATAGTGTGTTGATGTGATGATTTTTACACAATTTATTATTTCAAAATGATGAGACGCTAGTGTGATAAGTAAAGCTGATTCTATAATTTTATTTTGCTAAAGTTAGTAACTCACAGTTAGGTGAAATATTAACAGTTTAGCATGAAAAGAAACTTTTCAATTATGAAACTACTTTACTCTACTCTATTTCATTTACCCCATTTTGCCTAAGTGCAGTCATTGTCTGCGCCAATAATGGCCCATTCATTATTTCTCCAAAATAGCACTATTTAATATCATTTTTTATAAATTTAAATTTGTAGAAAAATTATGAGGCAAAAGTGAACAAGTATAATTTCCACAACCACTAAAAGCAATAGCCAGCCAGCCACAGACCAAGCAAAAGACATTATTATGCAGAAAATGAATAGTCAATCGCCATTTTTTTTTTCAATTATTTTTCTTCTTTGCACTAGGTTTATCAAAGAAACTGTTTTATGTAAAAATTATTAGTAATAAAATTAGCCTTTTATTTTAAAATGTTGTTTTAAGACATATTTATAAGATAATTATGAAATTAAAAATAGCAGTATATTATTACTTAAGATATTAATCTTTTGATGTTTAAGCAATAAAACTACACAAAATCAAAGAATATGTGCATAAAACAACAAAGGCCAGAGAAAAACACGCGAAAGCAGCCAAGGAATCTGCATAAATAACTGAAACCTCATCATTTGATGAAATTTAGGTATATATTTAGCACTGTTTTTTTAACTAAAAATATGTCTATTTTTTTTTTCTTCTGATAATTGATATATAGAAAAGTTTTCTTAACCCGCAACTAAACTACAATTTCAATTTCAAGTACACAGCATAGTCAATCTTATTGAGCTTTGAATTGTTGAATGTGGAAGGAGGGTGTTGCGCCAAGGGCAGATGAATTAGAAAATAAGCAGCACCAACTTTTCTTCCATCGAATGCAAAGAAACTCTCTTTTTTAATTATTTTCTGTTCCTTTCTTCCTTCTGACCGGCTCTTGTTGCTCTTCAAAGGCCAGTATCTCTTTAATTCTCTCAATTTTATGTTGTTTGTTTGATTCTCTGTTTCTTTTTTCCTAAATGGGTATTCCATATTTTCTTCTGATGCAGAAAAAAGTTTCTTTCTTTTTTTGGTTCTTCTTTTCTTGATCCAAGATTATTTCTTTTCTTGATGATTTGGGTAGATTCAGGGATTTTCCCTTCTTTTGGTTGTTGCCCATCACCCCTTTTGGCGTGTTCTTTACATCTGTTGTCTGCATGAATTGAAATTTCAATGCGTTTTATGTGAGCTTAAATTCTGAATTGCGGTGGATATCAATTGCAGTGTGTTGTATCTTAATTAAGAAGGTTGTTGTTTTAGACGAGAAAAGTTTTGTTGATTCGAATGCTTAGGTTTCATACATAATCAAAACTCTCATGCTTCTACTGGGAACCAAGAACAAAGGTTGTTGACTTGTTTCTGTGACACAAGTAGAATTTCCCAATTCCTCAGAATAACTGAAAACATGAAGGGTTGTGTATGCTTTTTTTGTGAAAACATCAGATATTTCTCAGAATATGGGAGGCCTTGCTTCCCTGCCCTTATTTGAAGAGCTTCAAAGTTGTCAAACCAATATGCATCTTGCATCGCAAGAGTCACATATTCTTTTCATTTATTTGCATGTAAGTGGAATCACGCTGGAGTCACAAATCATGTTTTATATTTATCTTGTTGGATTTTGCCAAACAGGGATTTCGAGTGTTATTTGAATTGCTGGAGGCCAGAGCGTGCAATCTAACTCTACAATCCATGGATAAAGGTACTCTTAAGTCTTAACGTTTTTCTTACTATTAACCAACTAAATCCTATGGGTCATACAAGCACAATTGCACATGCTTATTTGATTGTATATGTTACTTCATTATTTATCCCTTCTTTCCGATATGCACAACATTCTTTTCAGATACAGATACTGATCCTTCTAAATTATCACATTATATCACATAAGTCATTACTAGAATTTATCCAAACAATTTTTTTTGCATTTTGAACAACATCTGATCTACTTGATTTCCAGCCTGATCACGTAGTTATCATTGTTTAGATAATTGAGCTATACATTTGACAAGCTAATAATAAACTGCGTAAAACAAGGAAGGGTTTCATAATATAATTTGTTTCTTATGGCCAAATCGTGAGGATTAACCTCCATCTAATAAATTTTCATGGAAAGAGTACATGTATTCTGTCATCAGACTATAATATACATACACCCTCCAATTTGGATTTTAGTCCTAATTGTACCTCTTTTAGGTTTTAGTTCCTATGTATTCACTCGTTTGGGTTTTTGTCCCTGCCATTAACATATTGGTCCTTATATTTTTCATTTAATTGGATTTTAGACCCTGTAGTTTCCTATTTGTTAAAGTGTTGATCCCTATTCTCAATGATGGATTGATACTTTATAGTTTTAACTTATCAAGGTACCAGCTCCTAAAGGACCAAAACCTTCATGCTTGGAATATAGAGACCCTATCCCTAAAAAGAATAAATAGATACACATGAGGACTAAAATCTAAACGAATGAAACCTACATCAAATTATCAAGGAAAGCATGGTTTCCAAAGGAACAAGCTTTGTCACCTCTTTTTAGCATGTTATTTTACTTGTAGACTTTACTTTGAGAATATAACTGCATTCAAGAAGAAACAATGCAACTCAAAGCACTTGCTTGTCGTGAAATGAGATTTCCTTTGTTGTTGCAGATGCTAGAGTGGAAGAGACTGTTGATTTGCTAACCAATGCGGAATTGGTGAGATCGGTCTCTGATAAGCATCATGATCTTTTAAGGCCTTCTGCTCGGAACTATACAAGAGGTAACAAAATTGATGGTTTGTCAATATATTGGAATGCAAAATATTACTATTTGTTTCCAAGTATTCATTTATGATTTACTTTTTAATGATTTTCCTATTGTCAAAGCTTATTATCCAATTGGATCTGTTGATTTTGGAACACTAGAATTAGTAAAGCTGATATCTCCAATGGACATGTATCATCCTCCGTTTTTTTTTTTTTTTTTTTTTTTTTTTTTTTTTTGGGAGGGGTGGAGAA